CAAGGATTTTTGATATTTGCGGCAGCAATGAGATTGGCCTATGGTTGTGAAAAGAATGTTTGTCACCATTTTTGTATATTGGTAGCACCTTTGCAACTTTCATTTGTTTTGGGAATTTTGCAGTTTCAAAAGACAGATTGCAAATGTGTTTGATTGGTTCAGTTATGCTGTGAATAACATTTTTAACCAAGCTCATACTCAGGCCGTCCTGAGAGTTTTTACTCTTGAACTTTCCCACTACCTTCAGAATTTCATTTTCATCAACTGGGCTGAGGAAAAAGGAGCTATAACTTTGATTGTAACAGACGTCACTTTGCATAGAGTTGATTGGTGAGTCAATTGTTTTAGCAAGTTCAGGCCCTATTTCAACAAAGTACTTGTTAAAGCCTTCCGCTACTTCTTGTGGATTAACCAGGGTCTCATTATTATGTGAGTAATATTCTGCTATTGCATTTAATTTGGGTTTGTTTCCGATGATTTCATTTAGCACTCTCCAGAAGCCCTTAATATTATTTTTATTATGTTCAAGCAAAGTCTTATAATAGTAAGTAAGTAAGTAAGTAAGCTTTATTTATATACCGCCTTTCACAGACCAGAGTCACAAAGCGGTTTACAATTGTTTTTTTTTGGGCACTTGTCCTCTCACTCCACACAGAGATGGGAGCGGGGTCGCCGAACAGGAGGCGAATAGTCTGTTCTGGTTTTCCTTAAAATTTCCGTTAATTTGTTTTTATACTTTTTGTACCTGTTTTCAGAGTCTGTACAGATTGAAGAGCAAATAAGTAAGGGATAACGTATGTTACGCAGGTCATTATCGGAAAATAAGAACCGACAGGGCGAAGCTTTATACCAACAGAACACACAACATAAACTTCAGTCCACTTTTAGGAATGCCGAAAGGTTTATTTAATGACAGAAAATAAAATGGGAACTATTTTATTTAAAGTGGTTCTCACCCCCGCTCCTCGGAGCTTACGTCACTCACATTTCCTGTTCAAATCTTCCTCTAAATGGGCGTAGCCTGGAGGACTAAAGGGGGCGTGAACGAGACTGGGCCGTTTACATTGCTCTGGGCGGGGGGGCTGCTGACGTCAGGTCCAACTTCTGTGCCAGCGTTGGCGCCAGATTCAAAATTCAAATGTAGTAACACAGGTCGCCAGCAGATGGCGCCTCACAGACGGTTTTAGGCAGAAAGTTTAACTTTCAACTAATTTGCACCAAAGTGACAAGATTATGACCAGGATATGTAGACAACACTATTGGACACTCATTTATACCGTTTATCAGCAAAAAAAAGTGGATTTGAGGGTGAGTTGTCCTTTAAAGGCTTTCCCGTGGCTATGCTAGCAACAGTTAGCTTAGTAACTTCCAAACTAGAACTCTCTGGAACTGCATGAAAACTGAACACAGAATCCTGAACATCAGCGGTGAGTGACCCAAACATAAACTTAACCTAAATCCATAATTCCATCCTCTGCAAATGTTCCTAAAATGTGCCGTATCTACTTCCGGGTTTTTCGGGATCGCCTTTTCTCACATTACATCAGTGTTTTTGTCATGAAAACGTAAACGGAAAATTCTGAAAACTTCCGTGCACTTGTATTAATAATGTATTTGTATAATGTACTCTCCGATTAACATTTAATTGCGTTGATTGATTGGTATTTGCGTTTAATGAGCGTGAAAAGCTCCGGAGTGGACGGAACTCCGGGTTTTTCACGATCGCTTTTTGACGCAGATAAATAGTATTTTTGTCATGAAGACAAGACCAGAAAATTCTGAACATTTCCGTGCACGTGTGTGAAGAATGTATATGTGAAAAGTGTTCTCTGATTAACATTTAATTGTTGATTGATTGGTATTTGCGTTTATTGAGCGTGGCTAGCTCCGGAGTGGGCAGCGGTCATTATTGTTTTGAGAGGTCCGTTATAGAAAATAATGAGCGGTAGAACGTTTTGAAATGACATTAAAATCCATGGAGCGTTCTCCTGCTGCTGTGAGGAGCTGTAATAACATGAGTTATTGTCGAACACAAAACTGAACTGACCTTTTATGTTTCTACAATACTACAGTGTGTAACATGTACACACTGGGAAAAATCCATGGAAAGAAAATGAGTAAAATACTGGTAAAATTACTGTGTATTTTCTGCAGTTGCTCCAAATTTAAAAACTTATTAACCAAAAACAAATGTGACCTTTTTAAGAATATTTACCTCCACTATGTTTTTGAATTGTTTTTGAAGGCTTAGAATTTGACGTATAAATGTCCATGAGGCTGGAGGACTCTGATGTCACTGCACCATCTTGAACTACAGTGGCTGATAAGGGACAAAAAAGGACTTTGAGCTGGAGTAGATTACAATGTATGATCTCAATGCTAGAAGGGAGTAAGAACTGCTCTGTGTATAGCCTGGCCTTATCCATCCGTACTCTCCGCTCAATCATCATGTCCTGCCTGTAACGTCTGGGTCTGGTCCCTGTGTTTTAGATTACAATCGGTTGAATTTCGACCGACCAATCAGAGAGCGCGGGAGGCGGGTGTTGTAGTTAGATGTGGGTGATGTCAAGAGTTTGCGTCGAACGGGAAGGTTGTAGTTTGGCGAAGAATGTGATAGTAAAGTATTCTGGTCTGGTTCTATCAAGAAACTGAAGCCGGAGCAAGAGGAATGTTTAGCAAATGTAATCGCTGGAAAGATTGTGGCGCTACTCCCCACGGGCTCCGTTAGCGGCAAAGGAGATGGCTAAAGCTAGGCTAAATGCTAAATGCTAACAACTCACTTGGGCTCATTACATACGTCACGGTAAACTCAGATCCAATGGTTTCAATCTGCAAAAGGAGTTAGCCCCTCCCACCTGTTAACGGAGTCAATGGAGCAAATCCAGACTTTAGTACGAGATGTAATTTGTACTATGGTGTGGTACGACCAGGCTACACTGAGTATGTTTAAAATAATAGAAATGATCTGTCAATAGAAAGAAAATATGTCTTTACAAGATTTCTGAAAATATGAGAATAAAATTCTCCCCAAATGACTGGATTCTAGTTAAAAACATACATTTAAAGTATTATCGGTTTATTTCTATTTTTTTAAATATAGCATCACAAACTTATTTTATCTAAAGCCTGGAAAAAATACTTAACACAAGCTTTAAAACTCACTGCTCAGACTTTTTTTTCTTAGATTATGAAGTATTATCTAAAAACTAGTAAAATAATCTAATGACAAACTACATTCAAGCAACAAACACACAAAAATATACGGATTTTTTTTAAATACTTCTCAAAATAATAACAATAATCTGCCAATAGAACAAGGAAATGTGACTTGACAAGTTTTCTGAAAATAACAATAGTTCATGTTATTTTTAGTAAATAAATGTGTGTTTTTCAGTGTGTAGGCAGAGGGTGATTGGACAAGCGCCATTATCCATAATATTAAAACACAGACTGTGAAGATCTGTATACGTCTTCTCATTTATAGACGTTTCAAAGTGTGGAGTCTATAATATGAATCTATTTCTGTATTTGCATAGAAATGATTTACGGCGTTACAAAAGTGTCCTGGGCTTATCTCTGCCTTTCATGGAGTCTCACAGTCGAGGATTAGCAGAAAGTGAGTGTCACAAAATGAATAATGTCTGATTCCAGGCGTTTGAAAACACAAAAGTAATGTCATGGATGGAGCAAGAAAATGTTAGAAACAAACTGTCTCATACATGTACTCTCTCTCTCTCTCTCTCTATCCATGTATCTATCCATGTATCTATCCATGTGTCTATCTATCCATGTGTCTATCTATCCATGTATCTATCTATCCATGTGTCTACCCATGTATCTATCTATCCTTGTATCTATCTATCCATGTATCTATCTATCCATGTGTCTATCTATCCTTGTATCTATCTATCCATGTGTCTACCCATGTATCTATCTATCCTTGTATCTATCTATCCATGTATCTATCTATCCATGTGTCTATCTATCCATGTATCTATCTATCCATGTGTCTATCTATCCATGTGTCTACCCATGTATCTATCTATCCTTGTATCTATCTATCCATGTATCTATCTATCCATCTATCTATCCATATATCTATCTATATACAGTATATATGCGTCTATGTATCTATGCATTGACATTGGAATGTTATATAAGTTATAATTTTAGTAAATCACATGTGTCTAGATTAGACTGTATCATTGTTGGCTCCGGTCAGTCTGGACTCAGAGGGTTGTTTGAAGAGGCCAAGACTAGCCCTTGTGGGAATGCCATGGTCTCTGCCACTTCTCCTGCTCTGTCCTATTGCTTTGCTAAATACCAAAGGTGCTGCTTTAAACTTGTATGTACAGTATGTAAGAGGGCCAAAAGAAGTTTGAGCCTTGTCTGAGTTAGATCTGATTTTGGACCTGCTCTGCTCTGTCTCTGGTTTAGAAATCACTTCTCCCCGGAACCAAGTACAAAGAATGCAGAATGTATGCCTTTTGTGTTTGTGATTTTGTCGGGAATGGGATTGACTGTATATTACAACATTAACAGCATTGTCGTAGATGAACCACACAGAGACGGGATTGTGGCGCACCAGAGCTCCTGGAAGTTTATTAGGTTTCCTTCAGGTTTCAGTTTTTTCAGTTTTTTCAGACAGAACAAAACCAGGACATGGTTTATATAGTCATTGTTACATCACAGATACGTCTCACACAGAAAGACATACGTGTCAGACAATTAGAACACATCAGAGTCATAACATGGATACACAATGGGGTCGTTGTGACTGTGAGGGCCAGATATTATGTCTTGCGTTTGTCCACTTGCGTATAGACCATGGCATCTATGTACTGTATCTATCAGGACATTTTGCCGACTCTACAGTAACAGCACAAACCCCCTCAGGTCCCATGTCCGAACTCTCTGAGATGTTTCAAACCTGGCACTAACATGTCAGATGTGTGTTCTGTATTTTCCATGACGGGACTAAAAAGCATTGTTATTTACAGATCTTCATCTTCCACAACGTGACGATCACACATCCTGCAGAGTTCACCCAGTGCACCACGAGAGGCAGCTTTCTGACTCACTGGCAGGAGACGGCCTACAACATGTTTACCTTCTGCTGCCTCTTCCTCCTGCCGCTCTTCATCATGATCACCGTCTACACCCGCATCTTCCTCCAGATCTCCACCAGGATGAAGAGGAAGAGCTGTACGGCCCACTGTCTATTCTACACCACACTGAGTTTACACTGGAAAAAATGTCTTGAAAAAAAATGAGATTTTTTTTTTATGAAAATGAGGACAATACTGGTTTGAATAATAAAAATGATATCAAAATGGAACAAAAAAATATTACTTGAAAAAATTCTGAAAATAATAAAATAAGCCCCATACGACTTGATTCTAATTAAAAAACATATTTCATATTTCAAGAAAAATTTACTTATTTCTTTAAAAAAATGCAGAAATGTTTTCTTAAAATACAGCATCACAAACCTATTTTATCTAAACAAGAAAAAATATCTGGAAATATAAAACAATACTAAGCTTAAAAACTCACTGCTCACACTTTTTCTCTAAGATTATGAAGTGTTATCTTAAAACTAGTAGAATAATCTAATGACAAACTACATTCAAGAAACAAAAACTTGCCATTAAAAAATATGTATCATTTTTGTTATTTTTAGTAAATAAATCATCCCAGGATTTTAATATTTTCAATGTAACAAAACATACTTATACATATTCCAAGGGATGAGTACAAAAACAACATTACAGAACAAAAATCATTAAAAAAAACTTAAAAATATGAACCAGGAGTGACAAGGTGTGGAAATATTGAGGATCAAAAAAAAGCCAAATCATGACAATTAACGAATATATGAACGTAAACGTTTGTGTGTAATAATCTATCACATACAACTTCCACATTGTAAGTTGAATTTTTAAAGTAAAAGTACTTTTGAACGATACATTTCCGGGTTTCTCACGTGACATTTGTGTTTTCTCATGTGTTTAGTATCCGCCGGAGAGCCCGAATGGCGCTGTTCCCAAAACAACATCCCCAAAGCCCGGATGAGGACTCTCACGATGAGCATGGTCATTGTCGTCTGCTTCATAGTCTGCTGGACGCCCTACTACCTGCTGGGCCTGTGGTACTGGTTCTTCCCCGACGACCTGGAGGGCAAAGTCTCCCACTCTCTCACCCACATCTTGTTCATTTTCGGCCTCTTCAACACCTGCATGGACCCCATAATCTACGGCCTTTTCACCGTCCGCTTCAAGGGCCGCAGGAAGCAGGGCCGCACCACAATGAGGTCCGACACCAGAAACCAGGCCGGACTCTCTAAAGAGCGACTAAACACCAAATCTACTTTTTTTAACTCATAAACTGCATAAATATGTTTATTGTAGAGCTCTCTACATATCCTGGTCATTTTTTTGTTATTTTAGTACAAATAAGATAAAATCTCACTTTTGAGCCTGAAAACGTCTTTGGCGCCCTCTTTACCTTTTTGGTGGTACTACATTTGAATTTGGTTCTGGCCTCTCATTGGCTCTGGAGTGATGTGTGACCTCAGTTTGCACGTCACACACACAAACACACCCAACTCTCACACACGCCCCAGCAGCAGGTTGGAATATTCTGGCGACATCTAGTGGATTAATATTAAATTACATGAGTTGAAGCCACTGCTGCTGAGATAATTCTGTGGCTTAGGTTCAGGTGTGTAGCTCTACAATTATCTTAGTGCGTAAACAAAGGAATGAAACTTTCTGGTCTGTAAACTATTGCTTTAAGCAGCAATAACAACTGTCTGTTTTTTTTTTGTGTGACAAGTGAGCTGTCAATCACAGCACAGACCACGCCCAACTTTAAGCCCCCCTTCTTGTCCCTTGGTCCTCCAGGCAACGCCCTTTTTAGAGAAAATATTCAAATGTTCATGTGGGCGGAGTCAGGCTGGGCACAGGTGTTTAGTCGCTCTTTAAGGTCATAAACGCACACAAGAAGACTACAGACGACTCATCGTGGATTCCAGAAATGCCAAGTTGTGCTGCTTTTTAGTCAACGCTCCACCCACACACATCTCACATCGATCTCTGGTCCTGTAATTCCAGTGACATCACACGGACTAATTCCCAACGACGGCTGCGATGGAAATTGTGGACAATGGGCCTCGCATTCACCAGCGGCGATATCTTTTGTCCGCTGCTTTACCATCGTGAAGATCGCAAACGAGTCAAGTGTGTTCAGAATGCTTAGGATTACAAGAGCCACAAGCAATTACGCCATGCTGCTCGGTGTTATTGATCATATAGATGTTTGTTGGGTTCAAAAAAAGAAAAGAAAATGAGCGACCCACACGAAGGGATTATGCGTTATTGAGCCGTCCGTTTGGATTCAAAGGTTCTGAAGTAAAAAGTCAATCAATCTGAAGAATCGTGAAATGGAAATCTGCTCAGGGTTTTAGTTTCTTCTGCTCGGTTCGTTCCCTACAATGTTATTTTAAGCGCGGCTGAAACATGTAAAGAATTTTAAATAGATTCCTCCAAAAGTTTGATCTCTGCTCTCTGCAAAATTCTCTTTATCTGGAACTATTTTTCTTGTGTTATTCAAAACCGTTTGGTAAATACAGTTGTCAGAATACAGGAAATTAACTCCAGCCTGCCGTTTTTGATGATTTCACTGATTCTCAAGACCCACAGAAAATTTTGGGCTGTAACTATATGTGAAATATGAAACCAGATTCTGAAAGACTGGATTGTCTACTTTCATCAGCAAAAAAAAGTTTGTTTCTAGCTATTTTTATCATCCTGTAATCCCCAGTGGAAAAGATGAAAGTTTGATCAATGGCAGTCAATGAGTAAAATGAAAAACTTTAACCCTCTAGGTGCCACCGTGGGGCAAATAAAGGATCTCTTAATCTTAATCTTAATCTTAAATCGACAGAATGAGGTACTGTTTAAAATGGAAGATTGTGTGAAACAGGCTCACAGTCGGGGCAGTGTCTCTCAATTAAAAAAAACTAAAAACATTTCATGAAAATTATAAAATCCATGATTGCCACCGCCATAAAACGTCATAATATGCAAATCAGATGGGTCAATTTAATCCCTACATAAACTTTGAGCCATCCTTAATCATTCTCTAATTTACAGAAATCCTCTGTCTCTCATCACATTTTAGTTATAGCCTTTTTAAATGAATATTCTAAATTGAGCGTTTTAGGAAAAAAAGGGTCAAATCAGTCTCAAACCATCTGTTCAAACAAGCTTTTTTAATATGTCATGCTCTGTAAAAGTTTGATGTATTATTATTATTATTATTATTATGAAATTGTATCATTATTATCTTGTGAATGTAGAAAACGGATTCATCGTGCACACAAAGGGAACTAAATAATTGTACTCGCCATTTTCAATCAATCGACCTGTATCTGCTTTTCCACGGTGCTAACCAGGACCTTCTGGCTGAGAACCGAGAGTGCTAACCACTCAGCCACCGTACCGCCCACGGTGACCCTGTTTCATTCAATCTGCTGTTTTAAACAGAAACCGTGGCGCTCAGAGGAAAGAGTAAAGTACAATCCTTCACTTATATTCTCAGACAAACAGAACTGTCTTCAACCTGGATTAGAAAACTGTCAGAGTAGAAGCCTGTCTCACATCTTCAGGAAGACTGTTTAAATATGAGTCCCTGAGAGAATTCTATTGTAGCTGAAAACAAGATCACAGGACTAAGATCTGCACACCTCACCCCTCATTTAATTTTTTATTTAAAAGTATATGTAAGATTTTAAAGGGCCCTAATCTGTCAAAAGACATAATAATAAATAATAAAACATGTTCTTTTCCAATACTTCTTTAACTGATAGCAGTAGTTCAGAGATATTTGGATCACTAAATTAGTATTACAGCCCCTAAATCGTTTTCAATGTCGCCGCCCTTCACCGTTTCACCATCAGAAAGTCTGTGATCCGGGCGCCAGAACTCACCGCGTGGAAATCATTAACGACAAAACAAGGAATAAAACCAGGATTTATATCTTTGTGAAAAAGGTGTTGGTTATAGATTTGTTGTTGACAAAACTCTTGTCTATTCAGCTGTTATGGTCCCAGCTGGATTCGTCTGCATATCTGGCAACCTGAGTCAGGGAGAGTGGGAGAGGCTGCAGTACCACTTTTGGCCACATGTTTACAGACTGCTCCTTTGATATAAAAAAAGATCAACACACACACACACTTTGTCCATAGCACTGATCCACGCAGAAATGGTACTTTTTGGGACAGCTCCAGGTCAGCAATGTCAACACAGCGAGCGAGGGGGCTTCCACCCTGTAGCTATCGCAGAGAGTTATACATAAAGGGAACAAACCCAGGGCACTTTCAGACCATGAACCTCCAACATTTGTATTGTTTGGCGCGAGACGGTGTTGTTAAAATGAATGCCTTTCCACTCATTTTCAGCATCAAAGCATTTTCTCTTCTCATTTGAATAGTTTTGCATATTTATCCCACCTCCTTTTGGTAATTAAGACAAGTTTTGTTTGAGATTAGAAACACAGTCTAAACATATTAAAGCCTGGCAATACTAAATCACAAATGTTACTGATCTGAATTTGATTTTTTTATTGGTGTTTTGATCCGTGTCTGGGTCTGGACTGTCTATGCTTTGCTGAATCTCCGTCTGTTCTTCTCACACGTGTCCACTTTCATTTGAGATCCAAAAACTTCATCGCACTGTGGCCGTGAAGCCGTGTTTACATTCATTTGAATATTTACACAATTGTTATTTATTACATTTTGCAAAGTCTGGGAAAATACTGACTCAAGTGCAGTGTGCGTTCTGTTGTAAGAGTCTCATGTGCAATAAAACAAATGAAAACCTGTGTTATGTGTTTAGTTTTGTGTCCAGTCTGCTGCTGCTGCTGCTGCTGCTGCTCCTGCTCCTGCTGCTGCTCCTGCTCCTGCTCCTGCTGCTCCTGCTGCTCCTGCTCCTGCTGCTGCTCCTGCTCCTGCTCCTCCTGCTCCTGCTGCTCCTGCTCCTGCTGCTCCTGCTGCTGCTGCTGCTGCTGCCACCATGTTATACTAACAATAATGCGTGGGTTTTATTCAGGATACACAAAGACGCTGCACATGTCATTATTCAATCACTGGTGACAAACTACTGCCATAGCCACAGCTGCCCTGGGGCACACTGACAGAAGCGAGGCAACCAGTCTGCACCATCATTCACACACACACACCAGATTCATTCCATTCAATGTGGGTCACAATCTCGGCTTGGCACTTTACAGCCACAGCCGCCTCACTGTGGCACCTGGTGTTGTCCCAGAGGTCTCCCATCCCAGCACTAACCAGGCCTGCCCCTGCACAGTTTCAGACGTCTGACAGGATCTGGCTTTTACATGCAAGTATGGACACATTGTATCTGAAAATCCACATATATTAATTAATAATAATAATAATGCATTGGTTTCATACAGCGCTTTTCTGGACACTCAAAGACGCTTTACATTCATTCTCTCCAAACACGGTGGTGATAAACTACTACTGTAGCCACAGCTGCCCTGGGGCACACTGACAGAAGTGCTCTTCCGGGACAATAAACTGCCATTTTTAGTATGAGGCCACAAGGTTCTATAAAGGAGAGATAAGACCAGACCCAGACCCAGACAGGGCTCTCCGGTTTTACCATAGGGAGCAAAAAACAAACTTTACACGAAACTCTTACTCTTCAAACCCACATATCCCAAAGCGGAACCATCCACATCTCGCCTCAAATTTCATCAACAGTGATATTCGTGTCTTAATTCGTTCGTATTTAACTCTTAAAGCAATTTGCAGACTACATGTCCACCATCTTGGATTGCTTTGGCTGCCGTGAGATGTGCATGCGCAGGTTTGCATTACATCATTAACAGCTGAAGCAGACCAACTCGACAGAACCCTCTCCGTCTACACCTGTGGACTGTCCTGCCCGACCCGCCTGGGAGTGCTTCAGTCCTGCAACGGACCTGTCCACGTTCAACGGCTGCTGGTCCACGTTCTGTAGCTTAGGTCCTGGATCTAGAGCCCGTCCGTCTGTGGGAGCGGATCCTTTTCTCAAACCATGGGTCTCCCCGAGGTTTCTCACTTTTTCCCACTGGGTTTTCTTATGAGTTTTTCCTCTGATGCAGGAGGGTCTGTTGGACAGTTAGTGTCCAACTAGAAGGACTGTGATGATCCAGGACACTTTAACATTCTACATGTATGACATTTATCACATGTGTTCTATATTCTTTATGCGTTTTAACTGTTGATTCTCTGATCTGTGTTGGTGATTTCAATGGTTTTGTTAAGTCTCTGAGATGACTTCTGTTGTGATTTAGGGAAATACAAGAATAAGTCGTTGTTGTTGTTTGGGTCTTCCTTTCTGATCTAATTTTGAAGAATGCTACTAAACCATATAACATAATACAACTGTAAAATACACACTGGTTTGGATCGTTGAAATGCCAAGAACAAGAAATGGTTTCTTTGTGAACAATGGACAAACGGAGACGGCAGCTTCTCAATGTTTGTCTGCTGTTTGGGTCTGAAAAACACCAGTTGGCGTCTTCACTGTATACTGTGCTACTGTATTATACTTTCTCAATTTTCATTCTGTCTGAAAAGTCTCTGCGTCAAACTCTGTGTGAACTGGACTAAAGGGCCGGAGGGGAAGTGTGTCTCTGAACCTGCCTCAGTCCATTTTCAGAATCTTCTTTAAAAAAAAAAGCTCCTGAACCAAACTTTGAAATGACAAAAACATGAACTAAATCTAATGAAATCGATATATATATTATGGTTGTCATTTTGTTGTTTTACTTTATATTTGTTCATATTTGTTCTCCTGTTTCTGTTGAATGCCTGTCCAGCCCTAATGTGTTTCACCTGTGTGTCTCTGTGTGTACCTGTGTGTCTCTATGTGTCTCTGTGTGTCCCTGTGTGTCTCTGTGTGTTCCTGTGTGTCTCTGTGTGTCTCTGTGTGTCCCTGTGTGTCTCTGTGTGTACCTGTGTGTCTCTGTGTGTCTCTGTGTGTACCTGTGTCTCTGTGTGTCCCTGACTGTCTCTATGTGTCCCTGTGTGTACCTGTGTGTCTCTATGTCTCTCTGTGTGTACCTGTGTGTCTCTATGTCTCTCTGTGTGTACCTGTGTGTCTCTATGTCTCTCTGTGTGTCCCTGTGTGTCTCTGTGTGTCCCTGTGTGTCTCTGTGTGTACCTGTGTGTCTCTATGTGTCTC